AGGAAGGAAGGAAGGAAGGAAGGAAGGAAGGAAGGAAGGAAGGAAGGAAGGAAGGAAGGAAGGAAGGAAGAGATGGATGGACAAAGGAAGGAAGGAAGGAAGGAAGGAAGGAAGGAAGGAAGGAAGGATGGTTCGTTGCAGCTGAAGACTGCCTGTTGTCCGTCCATGTGAGTTAACAATCATTTATTAAGGAGACAAAGAAATCGCCATATGCTTAAGAGATTTTTAATTATTTCATAGCTGAATCCAGTCCTATTGCTACAACTAAAATAGAGATTTGGATGTTGAAAATAAAATAACAGCATTTTTTCAACATATATTTTGTCACTGTTATTTAGTACCTACTGAAATCAAAGACTAGCTGGACTGGGATTTGTTCAGGATACTCAAGATCTCAAATACTGTTTAGAGCAGTGTTTCTCAACCTTGGCAACTTCCAGAATTCCACAGCCAGCAATAGTGGTTTAGAGTGAGTCATATATGGGTAAAAAGGAGTAATAAATCTATATTCCCAAATCAATGGAATTAATAATCACATCCTCTACCCTTAAAGCATTTCTCAGGATTAACTGAAAGGTGATATTGTATTGAAGGAAACTATACTGTTAAGACCCTAAGTAAAGGAAGTGTAAAATCTATAACAGATGAAGAAAGCAAGGGAGTCTAGAGGAATGGGCAAAGATGCTTGAAAAGGTCAGTGGATATTTTACGCTAACTTTGAATTAACTAATATTAATTTTGCTTCTATAGTTCAGCATGCTTCTAATATATTTTGGAGAATTATTGTGTGCTTTGAAAGTGGCTCTTTCCCCTCCTTTACAGAGGGGCATGTAACTAACTATGTGCTATGTGTTGATAGCTATACTTTTGTCAGAGAGAAACTGGCAAAACCAGGGGGAGGAGTCAAGCAGGGAATTAGTCTAGAATTCTTTGGTAAGCACAAAAAGGCAAGGTTTGAGCCTTCTTGAATGTCCCTGAATCTTATCTTAACTGCCTGAGAAGATCCTTTGAAATAGGCATTGGGCAATAAAGTAGCAAATTGAACTCTACACATATGGACCTGGTTGTTCACACCTGACAACTTCCTAAGCGCGAGGGAGGAGTCAAACGTGTCATAAGTCTCGAGCCCCAAATGATTGCCAGGCATAATGTTGAAAGAGGCATTTAGCTAGAATCCTTAATACACAGCAACACATTGGTGATTTGCTTACCATCACATACTCGTGTCTCTTCATTCAAATAGTACCCAGATGGACACTGGCACTGAAAGCTACCAAATGAATTGATGCATTGTCCTCCTTGACAAAGTCCAGGGAGTTCTTGACACTCATCAATATCTGTTCAGATAAAATTAGACACCGCATTTTGTTAGAACATCAAACCAACAGAGCTTGGCTAAGAATAATCAATGTAATAGTAGGATGTCTAGAAAAAGAGAACACAAGCAGGCATTACCTTCCAAAATGACAGTAATGGGATTGGGTCGAAATCCTTCTCCTCCTGGACACAATAGCTTGTAATCAGCTAAAAAAGGAAACCAATATTATTAATCCAGCATTCTTGCTTTGCAAGAAAAGTTAGAGTCATTACAATATTTTTCTCCTTTCGGCATGCTTCTTCCAACCCCGAGTCCTTCAAATGGAAGATTCCCTGAATGAAAACAAGCATTACCCTCATTTAACACATTCACTAGATATGCACGCATCCTCAATTCAATTCATTTAATGCCCCCAAATTAAATTCGCCATTCTCGTTCTTATTTTCAAATACATCTCTCATTTTTTGTTTCAAAGTCAACAGATTGTCCTTCTAGGAGAGGCTGAGCTCGAAGGAGGGGTCAAACGTGTCATCAGTCTTGAGTCCCTTCGAGCCCACAAGATATACTGATACAGATACAGATAATCAGAGTTGGAAGGGACCTTGTGGGTCATCTAGTCCAACCCCCCACCCAAGCGGAAGACACTACACCTTTTCTGACAAAGGGCAGTCCAATCTCTTCTTGAAAGCCTCCAGTGATGAAGCTCCCACAACTTCCAAAAGAAACTTCTGTTCCATTGGTTGATTGTTCTCACTGTCAGAAAGTTTCTCCTTATTTCCAGGTTAAATCTCTCCTTGTTCAGGTTCCATCCATTATTCCTTGTTTGGCCTACAGGAGCTTTAGAAAATAGCTTGACCCCTTTCTCTCTGTGGCAGCCCCTCAAATATTGGAAGACCTCTATCATGTCTCCCCTGGTCCTTCTCTTCACCAGACTAGCCAAGCCCAGTTCCTGCAACCATTCGTTGTATGTTTTAGCCTCCAGTCCCCTAATCATCCTGGTTGCTCTTCTCTGCACTTTTTCTAGAGTCTCAACATCTTTTTTATAATGTGGTGAACAAAACTGGATGCAGTACTCTAGGTGTGGTCCTACTAAGGCTTTATAGAGTGGTATTAGTACTTCCCTTGATCTTGACTGTATCCCTCTGTTAATGCAATTTAGGATTGCATTAGCTTTTTTGGCAGCTGCTGCACACTGCTGGCTCCTATTTAGCTGGTTGTCCACTAAGGCTCCAAGATCCCTCTCACAGTTACTGCTATTGCGCCTGGTTTCACCCAGTCTATATGTGTACTTTTGGTTTTTCTTGCCTAAGTGTAGGACTTTACTTTTCTCTATATTGAATTTCATTTTATTAGATATGGCCCAGTGTTCTAGTCTGTCAAGATCCATCTGGATCTTGAGCCTATCTTCTTGGGTGTTAGCTATTCCTGCCAGCTTAGTATCATCTGCAAATTTGGTAAGTTCCAATCTTCCTTGTATTCCATTGACTCTTATCTACCACCAATTTGCCTTGACCGTTAGTAATTCAGATTCTTGTAGACAGCCTTAGCATGCAATCAACCTGTAGTCATTTGAATAGCCTTGATTTATTGCACCTGATAGTTCTCTTATAAATAAACTACCTCCCTGTAATCCTGGTTATATTCTCTTAGGAAACAAGCAGATTAAAGTGTAAGTCAGCTATGATTTTGCCCTTTTCCATCTCACTTACTTGAATTCACAGCTGGACACTGTTCACAAGGAATGCCCCAAGCTTTACCAAGGGAACAACAGCAAGAAGCCTTGGAAACACCAATGCCAATTTCGTTACTGCAAGCTGTATCACCATTATCTCCTCGAGGTTTAATTTCCAAATAACAGTAGCCAGAGCGTGTATCTGAAGAAGGAAAGTAGCACATGCTCAAACATCATCAATTCATAAAGATCCAGAATAAAAGAACAGTTCCCCTATAAGTCATGCATTGGGCATTGCTTTGACATTCCTGTTCATTCATTGCTCAATTCATCAGAGGCTTCTCAACTCCTGGCAAACTTTTTAAATTACCAATTGTCAGGTATATCTTTTTATTTCAAGACCTGAACCATGTAGTTATTGCCTCTTCCCAAAACATTGCTATTGTTTACTTATTTGTTAACCTGGTAGACCATTGATTCATCTAGATTTAGAGCAGCTTACTGGAACATTACTTACCCACACAGCCAACACGAGTTGGGTTCAGTTCAAAATCTGGGGGACATTCACAGGTGTAACTGCCTGGGATGTTGAGGCAAGTGCCACTGATACATGTTGTGGGATCTGCACATTCATTGATATCTGCACAGAGAAAAAAGGCAACATTAATCTATAAGTCAGCAAAAGACCCTGGACTGCTCATTTAACAAGGACACTAAGTTAGCCAAACTCACATTCTAATCATAAGCGGAAATGTTCAATTTAACTACTTTATGGATATTACAGACTTTTAGAACAGCAAGCTTAATTTGATACCTGGTGAGTTTTATCTTCTTTGGATTAAAAAAAAAAGTAAAGTAGGTAAAATAATATACAATTGGCAAAAAGCCATAAATAGATTTTAAGAAAGTTTTAAACATATCGGAGTTGGGTGGCTGTAAGAAATGTTTAAAAAATAAAATAATAACTAGGAAAACTTACTTGGGAAGTGGCTTCAAGTGCCCAAGAAACTTCTGGGCAATGCCCAGTTTGGCCAAATTAACTGACTAAATAACTAAAGTCCTACTAAGTTCCAAACTACAATTTTTAAGGTTTCTGAAATGTATTTAAATACAAGAGGGAAAAACAGTCAACTGAAGCTGCTCAGTTATTGTTCCTGAAATAGTGGAAACATGTTTTTGGTGGCTTCTATCAGCAATGATTATACCAAAGTTAAGACAGTTACTAAATTGGCCAAACTATTAAGTTACCTGTGCAGTTCCCGCCACTTCTGTCCAATTCGTATCCTGTCTCACACTGACACCGGAAGAGGCCAGGAAGATTGTGACATGTTCCAAAGACGCAGATGTTGGAAAGGGAGCACTCATCAATATCTGTAATGAGACAGTTGAGAAGAAATAGGAGATGTTTACCGAAGTAAGAATGAAAAGCCACAGCATGAACATCTCTGGGATCATTCTCCTTTTATGAAAATGACAAAATTGACTGCATTGGTTCAACCTTTGTGCATGTGTGCAACGTCATAATACAGTGTTCCTCAACCCTTAGCAATTTTAAGAGGTGTGGACAATTTTAAGAGGCGTTCTCCTTTTATGAAAATGACAAAATTGGCTGCATTGGTTCAACCATTGAGCATATGTGTGCAACGTCATAACACATTGTTCCTCAACCCTTAGCAACTTTGAGAGGGGTGGGCTTCAACTTCCATTCTAGAAGTTGAAGTCAACTCCTCTTAAAGTTGCCAAGGTTGAGAAACACTGCCATAACTCATACGCAAGAGGCTGTGGGCTTAGATCACCCTGATGCAACCCTACTTCTTTCGTTTTGTTCTCCTTGCTGACTCTGAAACGTAGAATTAGATAGCCCCCAAAATTAAAAACGAAACCAGATGAATACAAGATTTTCTTCTTCTTTGTTAACTACATGTATAAATCTGTACAAATTCAATCACCGTGAAACTCAACCCTCTCCTCCCTGGTGCCTCATTCCCTTTCTCCCATTGACCTTTGCCTCTAACAGACCCATGATTTTAATCTTCTTTAATTTTCTATGAGAAAAGGGTTTTTCCCCCAAAGAATCAGAAGGAAATTAACTGATGCTCTGTGGGAGTAGCAGGCTGTGTCTTTAGTCTTTCCAGCTGATGTCTCAACTTATTTCCCTTATTCAAGACATTGAGAATTAACAATTACATCTACATTTTCATAGACCCACCCAATACTCACTTTTTGATCATGACCAAATATTTTTTGTTCAGATACAAGTCGTAGCATACAAGCGTTCTTTACGGCCAACTGTTTATCTCAATATCATATAACATTTTTTCCTTCATGCTTTTACAAGAATTATGTCTTGATATAAATGACATGCTATTATTCTTGGCAATAAAAATGCAAAATTAGCATAACCGCTAAGATGAACGATGCCAAAAGGGATACTCAATTACAGCATCTCTATAACACTTTGCCCCCTTTTGTTTGCTCAAGGAAAAACCTCGGTTTTAGTATGGTTTTTAACCATATTTTAATCTGTGAAGTTTTAATGTTTAATTTCTTTACTTGTTGTAACTTCTAAGCCGCCCAAAGTCACATCATAGGGTAGACGGGCAGCATAAAAACTTAATAAATAAAAAAAACACAGCTTTACTTGGAACAGCTTACATCTTGTGAGAATATCTGTAACACCACTGAATATTCACATCTACCTATCCCAGGTCATTGAGAAGGACTCCATAAGTGGACCAAAACGTCAAATCTAACCTGAACAACTGGCTGACTGTGTGACAAACCAAAGTTGCCAATGATGTTGTTCACAATGGGATGGTAGCATCTACATTTTGGGAGGTTGAGAGTATGGCAAAGGAGTGGACTATGGGGGTTTAGCTACCTTTTGCTTTTCAACCTCTATTCCAGGGGTCTCAGCCTGGACCACTTTAAAACTTGTGAACTTCAACTCCCAGAATTCCTCAACTAGCATGGCTGGCTGAGGAATTCTGGGAGTTGAAGTACACCTATTAAAGTGGCCAAGGTTGGATGGCTGAGGAATTCTGGGAATTGAAATCCACACATCTTAAAGTGGCTAAGGTTGGATGGCTAAGGTTGGAGATCCCTACACTATTCTCCTTCTTGGCGATATTCTCCGGCAATATTTTCTAAGACAGGATGTCCCTTGTATAGATAGATGATAGGATGGTAGAAAAGATAGATTGAAAATTAAAATCTCCTCTTCAAAGTCAAAATCTGGACTTCAAACCTTAAGAAGGCCAAGCAAGAGGGCTATAGCCTAAGCGAGATTATTTAACTGCTTCATTTACTCAATTACCTTCACAAGCTTTTCCATCGATGCTTGGCAAAAATCCCATATCACACTCACAACGGTAACCCCCAGGAGCGTTTAGACACTGACCATTTTCACAGAGGTTGACATTTTCAGAACATTCATCAATATCTGGAAAATGAAAAAAGTCACTTTAGTTGAAAATGCATTCTATCTCTATGCAAACAACTAACTAGGGTTAAGAATGTCACATGAAACTTATGGGTACAGGAAGGATTGTTACATATAAAGATATAAAACAACATCCAGAAACAAGTCAACATGTAGCATAATATGGAATACTTTTATTTAAAAAAATATAGCATGTTTTGTGTGACTCTGAAAGTCAAAATAATTTGGAGCCGAAATTGGAAAACAAGATCTGTTACTATTATTCAAAATTTACATAAGTATATAACTCCAGTCATAAACATTTTGTTATCATTAATGCATTACATAAAGAAAACCAGATCTTGTTTGAAATTTGATGATATATTTTATCTGCTAGAAAAAAGAAAAAAGCTTTAGGAAAACCCATGCTTTACGTGCTCAAACTCCTAGGTTCAATATCAGTTTTTCCAGGATTGAGTCTTGTTTGTTTTATTTTAATATTAATGGCAACAGCCTTTAGATTGTGCTTTACAGCACTCTCTGGGCAGTTTACAAATCAGCACATATTGCCCCCCAACAATTGGGGTCCTCATTTTATTGACTTCAGAAAGATGGAAGGTTTAGTCAACCTTGAGTCGGTCGGGATCCAACTTAGGGCTGTGAGCAGAATTTGCCTGCAATATTGCATTATAACCACTGCGCCCCCAGGCAGGGCTTAGCATGTAATAGGAAAATATTCTGCCTGAAACCTGGGAAAACATGTTATCCATTCAAGCATCACCCTCCCCTAAAAGCTCACCTGTACAGGTAAACCCAGTCCCGGTATAGCCTTCTTTACATAAGCAACGATATGATCCCGCTGTGTTCTTGCAATCCGCATGTGGACTGCACTGGTGTGTGGCATTGGCACATTCATCCAGATCTAAAGAGGACAAAAATTTGCATTAATAAGAGAAACATCCCCAGTTATCTATGCAAAGATAATGTGTACACAAGATTAAGAAGAAATCTCCAGTAGCACTGGTAATCCTCAACTTACAACCACAATTGGGTTCCAGAATTTCTGTTGTTACTAATTTCTGTTCTAATTCATAGTTTAAAAAATAGTTAAAGAAGGAAACATAAATTCATGCACCAATCAGTCCATCACAAACAATGGTACAGAATGATACATAAATGTTATACTGAGTGTACCAAAAATTTAAACCCAAGGAGAAGCTAGTGGAAATAGATTCAATATAAATAAATGCAACTATGCTGTCTGCTACTTTGCAAACCGTTATAAATAAAACTTGGGTTGAATTGCTTAGGTTCTCGAAAGGAAAGTAGAAATAGTTGTAGATTACTTAAAAAGGATTAAATGATCATTTAAAAAACATTTGGGCAATGATACAAGAAACATGAGGAAGGATGGCTTCCTTTTTCTAAACGTTTTCAAGAAAAAGGTTAGGTAAACATCTATAAAAGGCAACATCAATGTATGTTTTGATACCCAGATTTGGATTTCATGCTTAAAGAGTCACTTTTAGATAACAAACATATCTTTCATTCCATGAGAAAGGGATGTAAGCCTATGAAGCTGTTTAATTACAATTTATTTCAGTATTGAATTAAAGATTGACTCAGATCATCTGTGTGGGGGCGGGGTGAAGGGGGTGTAAGGAAGGAAGAGGGAGGAAGAGTTGTTCAAACTCACCTACACACTTGATCCCATCTCCAAGCCAGCCTGGTTTGCAGCCACATTTAAAGCTACCAGCTGTGTTTGTACAAATAGCGTTCCGGTCACAGTTGTCAGTGCCGATTTCACACTCATTTATATCTGTGGAAAGAATGGACAAAAATATCAACTGCAATGCACGTATGCTTCCCCTCCCCTTCCTATCTTGATGGTGTGGGAAGAAGAAGGCCAATTTGTGAGTGCAAAGACAACCAAGAGTTGTATCTAGAACAGTGAAGGAGATTCCCCCAAAGAATATGATCTATTCCATTGATTACACTGATATCTTGCCTTTCCTTCGGGGGCCCAAAGAAGCATACATACCACTCACAGCTCCATTTCTCCCCATAAGAAGCACCCTATAAAATGAGTTGGACTGGAAGACAGAATGAACATCCCAAAGGCATCCAGTGAGTTTTTATGTCTTTGGGTAGACTTGAAGTTGACATTCCCCAGTATAAACCATCATCCATGACACTACATTGGCTTTGACTGGTGCGTTGGTGATTTACCACTCTGTAAGCTTGTTGACATTCTTTCAGTGGTAGTATATTTAAACCCATATTATCAGACAAACGGCGGCGTGGTGGCCCAGCGGTTAAGACGCTGGGTTTGTCGGCTGGAAAGCCGACAACCCAGGTTCGAGACCCGGGTGCCATGCGACGGGGTGAGCTCCCCTCCTGCAAACCTAGCCGTTCGAAAGCATGCAAATGCGAGTAGTTAAATAGGCACCACTTCAGTGGGAAGGAAACAGCATTCCATGACCTCATGCTGGCCACATGATCGCGGAAATGTCTTTGGACTGTGCTGGCTCAATGGCCTTGAAATGGAGATGAGCATCAGCTCTTTATCGTCAGCAACTACTAGCGGAGTAACATCCGCAGGGAGTCCTTTAGCTTTACCTTTTACTATCAGGCAAATGCTAGGTGGCTATCCTAACGTGGAGATAAGCCATCTGATAGTGTAAGAGGACATTCACACAGTAACCACAACCTTGCACAAAACTGGCTGTTCATAAGACTTCTGCTCTTGTTTGATATGTTTAAGATCTCCTGAGAATTCAAACGAAAGGATGAGATGACCTCATCTCTCTCTCTCTCTCTCTATGGTGGGAACAAGTGAAACCAAGAGGGGTGAAGGGTGCCCACAACAGTGAAAGAAAGCTGGTCAGATCTCACCAAGCCTTGTCCATCCCACCATCTTGACATCCCACCATTTTGTCTTATTCAGCAGACCTATTTTTATTGGGAAATGTACGGATCTGATTTCGCCGAAGGGGTAAGAGGAATTTAACAGTGGGGTTTTTTTTTTCTCTCCAAAGGGCCAGTTGGCTCTCTTTGATTATTCCAGTCCAAATAAAATCTTATTTCAACTCCCCAGCGGGACAAACAGAGACTCCTTTGTTGGCTGTCTGGTCTCCAAGATCTTGGTACTATCTCTGTGAGTTTGCTGCTCAGCATGACTGAAGATACCCAAAACTGACTCCAAATATGAGCCATATATTCATGGAATTAACTAAAGGCACCCCCAAAAAGAGGGGGAGGGAACGTGATGCCAAGACTATGTAAACATTTTTTTTTCTATCGGCTCTTTCTCCGCCAATTTTGTTTTTCAACAAAGTTCTCCTTTGAGAATTTCTTTGGCTAGCCAAAGAAAACAAATATTCCAGTCTAAGGCCGTCCTTACAGCCAAACAGTTTTCTTACTTCTTCTTACTACAAGAACAAACGTCTTCTTATCTATTTAAGCAACTTCCATTAACATGATGTAAATAGTTTTTGCTCTGTTTTTCCAGCCACTTGACATCACGTTAAAAGGAGGTGAAGTGGCATGAATCATGGGTTTCAGTCTTAATTCCACCCATTTTATGAACGCTTAAAGGTGGGTCTAGTAATGTAGGTGATTGTATCTTTTCGCCTATGGGGAACTCAACTGGGGAGGAGCAGCGTTTTGAGCAGAAAAGACACCTCAGAGGAAACTATTAAGAAGCACCACACCTTCTTCATTTGCAGTCTTTTATTTGAGTCAGCAGTCGGCTATCTTTTACTGAACCACATGAGCAAAGATGCAACTTACACAAAAGAATTGTATGCAGGCTGGAATCACTTGCTAGCACTTGGCAGCAAGTGGTTTACTGACACAAGCCCACCAACACACATCCTTGATGTGAAGCAGACCCACAACATCACACTCATGAACATGACACACATACACACTGATCCTGTTGGCACAACACATTTAACTGGATAAAAGGAGGCATTATCATGCAAACGTTCTCATTTGCAGAATCTCAAGACAGGCTGGGACTGTCACCGTTTAACGCCATTTTGGGTGAACTGCCTGAGGGAATAATACTTTTTTCCCCACTTCTGAAACTGAGAAGTCTTAGAGACGTTGTGCAAAAAATGAGACTTCTCTAACTTCTTAGTCTCTTGCTTACATTGTGTTGCCCGGGGCCTGGAGTAAAAAGGGAGCAAAGAGGATGGAATAGGCAAATATGAAGAAGGGTTGCAGAATTTGGGTATGTCTAGTTTAATGAAAAGAAGGACTAGCAGCATTCCAATATTTTGAGGCACTGCCACAAAGAAGAGGTGGGTCAACTTATTTTCCAAAGCCCCAGAGGGCAGGACAAGAAACAATGGATGGGAACTAAATCAAGGAGAGAAGCAACCTAGAACCAAGGAGGAATTTCCTTACAGTGAAAACTATTAATCAGGGGGAAAACTTGCCTTCAGAAGTTGTGAGTGCTTCATCACTGCAGGGTTTCAAGAAGAGATTAGAGATCCATTTGTCCTGCTTGAGTAGGAGGTTAGACTAGAAAACTTCCAAGATCCCTTCCAACTCTTTTATCCTGTTAAATTTCTCCATTTTAACCATTACAGTGTCAATCCTGGAGGTGACACTGCAGATATTTTTGCCACACCTAAAAAATTCCTAGAAAGGGCCAACTTTCCCATTTTCTTTGCTGTAATTTGAGGTCTTGGGAATAACTAAATGATTGATTAATCAGTTACCTAGAGGATCTAATGACTTGGCTCAATCATGTAGTCTAAATACCATTTGGGGTGTTGTTGCCCCATATAATCTGTGGGACTCCCAGCTGGGGAGGGATCCATCTTGACTTGAAGAGATTTATTGAACAGATGTTGTTTTGTAGCCAAGCCAAAAAAATAAAACCCGTCTCTGCGAAACGTTGCCCTTTAACATACAGCCTGAAAAACCTTAGGAAGGATGAGTAAATGAATACTCTTTAGGAAAGGACTATTCAGAAGGAGGTTTCAGGTTCAATTGCTGGATAAAATGTGTAGGTCCCAAACTGGGGTGGGGTGGGGGGCGGAAAATCTTTCTCTGAGAATTTGGGAATGGCTGCCAGAAAAGCTATCCTAAGATTAGATAGTTTCCCTAGGAGGTTCTTAAAAGATTTAGATTTGAGATGGTTTTAAATGCACTTTGTATCATTTGCATCACCAAGAGCCAATAACTGTCTCTGAGTTCTTAACGTAAGCATGATCGAGTTTTTTGGAACTGAATGAAGAAGAGTTGGGGAAAGTTGTAAGACTTCAGATGTACTTAACGGAGTAACGGAATAGCAGAACTGCAAGGGACCTCGGTCCAGTCTCCTGCTGAAGCAAGCAACCCTATGTCATTCCAGATAAATGGCTGTCCGGTCTCTTCTTAGAAGCCTCCAGTGATGGAGCAGCCACAACTTCTGAAGGCAAGATGTTCCACTGATCAATTGTTCTCACTGGTAGGAAATTTCCCCTTAGTTCTAGGTTGCTTCTCTCTTTAATGATCTTCCACACGTTACTTCTTGTCCTGCCCTCAAGTCTTTGGAGGAAAATAAATTGATTTCTCTGTGATAGTCTCTCAAGTGCTGGAAGACGGCTGCGTCCTTCTCTTCATTAGACTAGATATATATCTAGTTCCCTCATCATATGGTTTAGCCTCCATACCTACTATCATACCACTTTGTCTTTCTTCAGAAACAGAATAACAAGAGTTGGGTGGGATCAGTCCAACGCCCTGCTCAGACAGGAGATGCTCTACCATTCCAGACAAATGGCTGTCCAGTCTCTTCTTAAAAACCTCCAATGATGGACCACCCACAACCTCCCACGGGGTGATTATTCTGTTAGGAAATTTCTCCTAAGTTCTATGGTTGCTTCTCTCCTTGATAAGCTTCCGCCCATTGTTTCTTGTCTTGCCTTAATACAATGCCTTAGACAGCTCAGCTGAGATACAAGCTGGATTTGAGCCACACTTTTCCTACAGTACTTTGTTCAACTTCCTGCTCCAGGCCTTTTCCTTCTTGTATTCTTAATTCGTGCAATATGCACATACCTTAGCTGACCTACTCCACTTTCCATTTCAGATAATTGAACATGACAGCATGAATGCAGCCAAGTTAGCTTGTCATAAGTAATGTATGTCGTTGCATAAAACACAGCATTTCCCTAAACTCGACCCATATACATTAAGAATGGAAGCAAAAAAAAAGAAGGAAAACGAAAAGTTTTAATATCTGCGTGGAATGTAAATGCATGTCAGTGGGTGGATCATGCACTCAGGGAAACAGCAGGGGGGCGTGGGGTGAGAAGGAAAAACTTGTTTACTTGTTAAGATGGAAACAGTTGGTAATGACAAGGGGGATGAAATATGTAGATGCGACTTCAAGCAAACTCCCAGAATCTTATGCAATTGTTTCATGAAAGAAAGAGCTTGTGTGAACATTTTTACAATTCTTAAGAAGTAGAGCTGAAACATTTTGGCATGGCAGCAAGAAGGAAGGAATCCATTCCCTTCGGTCAAGCAGTTCCACACAAGGGCTCACTCTTTAAAATACTTAACACCATGTTTTGGGAAGTGGGGTCTCCTGTCGAGGAAATGAAAACCCAAGTCCTTGGCACTTTTTCAGAGCATGGAAACAGGCTGAAGACATGTTCCTTTATGACACTTGAGCAAAGGAATTTGGACTACTGGGATAAAAGCATGATCTCTCCCCTCTACTGTAGGCTTTCCAAGGGCAGCTGCAAATTTTGTGTTAACATTCAGATGAGCACTAAAAGGAGCACACATGGACACATGCTAAGACAGCAGCAAAACATGAACACAACATTCCAATCATTGCACCTATTTATTAGACTGACAACCATATAGGTTTGCGATGAGAGCATAAAACAAGAGTAACCTCAACCATCATAGTTGGCCACATGTACAAAATCTTTGTGGTTAGCCTCCTCCACCCGAAGATTGCATGGCAGCCTAGGGTGGCTGGTGGCGAGCTTTCTTAGATGTCCCAAAGCAAGGTACAGTTCGGAATTACAGAAATGAAATGTCAGCCTTGGAAGCCATTTTTTACTTGGAAGCTCCGAGGCTGCCACATTCAGTGCCTGGGAAAGGGGGATTTCATAGTGAGGTAGGAGATTAGACTCAATAACATTCTTTCTCAGAGAGTCAAGGACATGTTGCCCTGCACCTGGAGGGTGGGGAGTGTCTGGAGGAAGGTCTCCAGTTGGGATGACGTTTTGATTGGGCCATGTGATGGACTGATGGATACAGGGGATGGATCTTTGATTTCTCTTTTGGGAAGGGAAAACCCGGAACTCTCAGATTTGGGGTTTCCCAGATGTGCCAATATGACAACTCTAATAAAATGGAACTTTGAGGAAATGCTTGTCTCAGAGTTTATTGGTTTGGAGTTGGTTAGTTGGAACACTGACATAAGGCTGCATTGCAGAAATAAAGATTATCTCGAGAGAAGGTAAAACTGATGTGCTGAATAACGGATTAATCAAGGAGGTGGCTGTAAGGGATAATTTGCAATAACAGAAATAAAAATGGATTGTAGAAATAAAAACCTTGATAGAGGGGAAATAGGCAATATGTTGAATAACTGATTCATGAAGAAGGCAGCTGGTGGCAGACTTCTTACGTGCCTCAAAGGAAGGGATAATTTGCAATAACAGAAATAAGGAAGTTTTGCCGAAATGAAGACCTCGATAGAAGGAAAACAGATGACGTGATGAATAACTAGGTTTCAACTATCAAAGGCAAAATCTGTGTCTTTTGCAATCCAATTCATCTTCAATTAATCCTACCATGATAGGCATTATTAAATTAATGCACATGAGAGCTTAGAAATACATAATGTATGGTCATTTAAAGAACAATAGCACTCATCTAGATGAAAACCTACCTGTGCAACCTGTGGTCCCTTTCTTTCCAGAATAACCTATTTCACAATGACAGATGAAAGAACCTTTTGTATTCTCACAGCTTCCGCTCAGGCAGATGTTTGGATGCAGTTCACATTCGTTAACATCTGGAGAGGGCAAAGAGTTTTCATAGGTTATAAAATGTGATTAATAGTTGACTAATATGTACTGAAACCAAGAAGGAGCATTATAAATTTGGCAAGGAAAAACTATGGGTTATTTGGAAGTAGGTTTGCTTGGTTCTGGAGAAAAGCTAGAGTTTAAATCTATAGGGATGCTGAACTCTCCCCCCAAGTGTATTAACAAGACAACAATTGCTGTTGTTAGATCATAATTGTTTTCACTCCCTGAAAACATTCTCAAAAGTGTTGGCTGTTGCTGTGTTTATGGCTCCTAAGCTTTTTGTATTGTTCAGTCATAACATCAACAGCATTAATATGCTCTAAGGATCCATCTGATTGTAGAAATATACAGTGTTCTTTATGCTATTTTTTATCATCTCCATATACAAACTTCCTAATAATACACAAATATGTTACATGGTTTTTCTATCAAACGCCAAATCTCTTTGTGTATCTGGAAGGACAAGCACTACACCCAAAAATCTAAACATTGAGAAATCTTGTTCCTTGTATAAGCCTTCACCTCTGAAGACTTATTTTAATGTGAGTATTTCTCAGCATGCCTATATGCTTCTTTTAGAAAAAAAAATGTAGTAGAATTCTCCAGATTTTGGTCTCCTTCTTAGACAGGGATAAGGTGCAGAAAGTCTACTAAGGTGTCACAGTGAGATTATCTGAGAGGTCTTTAATTATTTTATTTACCAAAAAATAGATACATGTTTGCATTCAATTAAAGAGACTTTGAGGCACCACTAAAAATTAATCCACAAATAAATGGATTGTTATTAAGTGATATAGGTCAATCTATAGTTGCAAATTTAATTGATTCAAACCTCTATTTCCAAGCTAGTTCATGGCAGGTGTAATGGATTACAAACTCCAGAATTCCCAACCAAGGTAAGACCTGCTTCCTGGACATCTTGCAAGTCAACACCCTCTGGATAAAGCCATTCAATTGCATTTTCTTAGGTTTCCACTCTGCCTTTGTTTCAGATGCAAAATAACAACAACAGATACGCTAGGCTTTCCACATGCTCCCAGCCAGCAACACTGGGTGAAAAAGAATGGCTGGTCTGAGTCACAATAATTGTCCATGGAAGAATGACGACCTCAGCTCTGACATCTTTGACAGGTCCTTGGTGGTCTCTGAGCTTGGTAAGTAACTAAGTAACCTCATCAGTGCCAGTTGTCTGGAACTAGCACTGCTGTTGCCTAGTTTGGGTAATGAAACACCTGCAAGAAAACAACCAAGCTCAGAGAATATCAAGGATCCCTCATTTCAGCCCTGAGCTACAAATATCCTAGTTTATTGCTCTGACCTCCCTGATCCTGGATGGATACTATAAACTACGTTCGGCTTTCATATGAAGAACTGCTTCTTGCTTCACTGTGGGAACTAATCATCTGACAACCAGATTAGGATAACAGATGTTTTACTTGCCTAGGCAGGTCTTCATGTCTTCGGATGTCATGAAGCCTTCATAGCAAAGACACCTGTATTCTCCAGGGATGTTAGTGCATTGGCCACCATCACAGATGTTCGGATTGTTTTCACACTCATCAATATCTAAAAGAAAAAGGCACAAGTAGATATTCGGAGTTAGTTTTCTGCTTTCTTTCTGTCTCACAACCAAGTGAAAAATTACACAGGGAGAGTCTGGTGTTTGTTTACAGGTATCCCCCCCCCTAGGAAAGTCCATACAATTTCTTTTGGACTATAATGTTATATTAAAATATCTGTCAATTCTGCATGGTCTCTTTCTGCTTACCTCATCTGCAGTGGTGGGATTCAAATAATGTAACAACCGGTTCTCTGCCCTAATGATTTCTTCCAACAACCAGTTCACCAAACTGCTCAGAAAGTTAACAACTGGTTCTCCCAAAATGGTGTGAACTGGCTGAATCCCACCACTGCTCACCTCGCATTACTTGGTATGTACAACTTCTCTAGACCAGTGCTTATTATTAATCATTGTGCACTGACACTAGATAGAAGAAATTTCATCTTGTGCAAGTATTACCATCTGTGGGAAGATGGACAGCCAATAAATCGGATAGATGAATGGATAGATCATTGATAGATAGATAAATAGGATAGATAGATAGGTAGATAGATAGATAGATAATAAGATAACAAAACCTTTATTGTCATTTTTTACTGTGAACACACTGCCACACATTAAAAAATGAAATTATACTGTCTGTTCTCAAAAGAAATAATATATCTGCCCATACACATACATAATATGCATATACACATGCTATATGCATACATATATATAATCATCACTGTCCATTTTGAATACCTAGCAGAAAGAGTTCACAAGTTGATGCTATATATATAGCAAAACAAATAAAATTGATGAGAGAGAGAGAGAGAGAGAGAGAGAGAATGAGTATATGATAGGTAGGTAGATTAGATTAGATTAGATTAGATTAGATTAGATTAGATTAGATTAGACAAAATAGGTAGATAGATAGATAGATAGATAGATAGATAGATAGATAGATAGACAGACAGACAGTATTTTTTTTCTTTTTAACTCAGAGTGCTTTTGAATCTCTGGTATAATTTCTCAGGATTTTCCCTGTTAAGGTCATCGCATACCAGCTGAATATCCAAAACTTTGCTTGGTTACTCAAAAGAAATGTTTGCAAAACAAAGACTTGGGCTGAGATTCTCTTCTCTTTGGGAAAAAAAAAGGGTGTAACTCATCAAAAGATGAGTCTATTGTGGCTTTTAGGAATTAATGCAGCTGCAGAAACCTTAACTCATTTTAACTAACAAGTCCAAGAGGCCAAGAATAATTATTCATTCTCTATGCAGCTTGCACCAAACTAACAGAAAGTGTTATAACAGTTGTTTTTGTTAAGGAGATCCAACATGGAAGACATCCTTTGTTGGCTATTGATCATTTATTAATCACAAGATGCTATCAAACCCTGAAACAATTTGGATCTGGAGCCTTTGCTAAATAGTCATGCAAAATGCACACATGTTTTATTTCTCTCTACTTAGGATGTGCTCGCTTCAAATTTGGCAGGCATACTTTCACCCCTTCTGTCCTTATATCTCTCCTTTTCTGAACCCATTTAAGGGCCTTCTCTTAAATCAGAGGTCTCCAAACTTGGCAACTTTAAGACTTGTGGATTTCAACTCCCAGAATTCTCCAGCCACTATACTGGCTGGAGAATTCTGGGAGTTGAAATGCACAAGTCTTAAAGTTGCCAAGTTTGGGGACCCCTGTCTTAAATGCTGCTATCTGATGGGACCTTGGAAGCATGCCTTCCCTGTAGCTGCTCCAGCCCTTTGGAACAATCTTCCACCTGAGATTCAAGTTCCCCTTCTGGAAAATCATGAAGAACTGGTTCTTCCCTCAAGAGTAGGGCTAGGATGGGGTTGAGCCAGGAGGCTAATAGACTGATTGGCCTGCAGCCTGATGGGAAGGGTTATTTTGTTTTCTTGGTGTTATAAATCAAATAAATAAAAAGGTCAACCATGACACTCTTTTCAACTCACCCTAATTCCATTTTGGTAGCCAGAAAGTGCAACAAATCCATTGGAAAAGCTGCCTCTTATAGTCATAGAACATAGAATGCTATGGTTGGAAGGAGGACCTGGAGGTCTTCTAGTCCAACCCGCTGCCTCAAGGCAAAAGCTTTATACCAACCTGCTCAAATGGTTGTCTATCTATCTTTGAAAACCTCCAGTAATGGAGCATCCACAACTCCAGGAGGCAAGCTATTCCCGATTCATTGCTCTCACTGTCAGGAAATTTCTCCTAACTTCTACTGCAAGTTGGATCCTCTCTTTAACAGGAGAGATTAATAGGAAACCATTCCAGGTAATAGAATCTTGGAAAGGAAAATAAACTGGCATGCTTGATTGCCAGTTTCTAATCAATTCTAATTAGAATTGCATTTCCACTTTTCTTTCAGAAGCTCAAAGCATTTTCTCCTACTGTTTTCCATAACAACAAGTAAGTGGGCTGAAAGAGAGGGACTGGTACAAAAAGCATTTTCTGAGTTTCTGTGATTGACAGGAGTGGAGCCTTGTTTTCTCGTACAATATTTAAACTCTAAAATACCACATCACCCTGGATATCCAATAGATTGTTGCAGGCAAGATGCTGACTCTGTAAAACCACTTAAAGAGGGGTGTAAAGTATTGTGAAGTGGTATATAAGCCTAAGTGCTAAGTGTTATTGCTATCGCAAGCTAACTCTGCCTACTGCCAGCAGTTTGATGCTGACCTGCTGAAGGTTGACTCAGCCTTCCATCCTTCAGAGGTCAGTCAAATGAGAACCTAGATTGTTAGGAGCAATAGGTTGACTCTGTAATCTGCTTAGAGAGGGCTGTAAAGCACGGTAAAGTGGTACATTAGTCTAAGTGCTTTTGCGATTGCATGCAGCTTTCATATGCTAAAACTACAGCTCCTGTCATACACACAATTACTCAAACATAACAAATTTTGATGGAACTCACATTTGAGTAAACAGGCAAGCAAAAATATATTATGGTCAGAGAAAAATCAGAGGTACGGCCAAGACATTAGCAAACGTTGGGTAACATACAATAAATGTTTACAAATTTACTTTACCAGTGCAAGTTCTGTGATCTGGCATTAGCGCAAAACCGGGTCTACAGCTACATTCATAGCTGCCTTCTGAATTCGTACAGTACGTGTCACAACCGCCATTCATTATGCTGCATTCATCAATATCTGGAACAAAAAAAAAAAAGAGAGAGAGAGAGTGATGTCTTATACTTTACAATAGTTGCCATGCTTTCTAACAAGGTCTTGGCTACGGAAATTTCAAAGTTACTAATATAGTGCAATCAAGGTAAATTAGCGGCTAACCTTGAGCCCAGAATTATCACTGGAGAGTACAGTAAAAGGCACAGGTGGTCTCAGAATTGGAAATTCATAGTTTTAGTGGTCTACACCAGTGTTCCACAACCTTGGTCACTTTAAGGCAGGAGGACTTCAACTCCCAGAAATCTCCAGTCATCCATTCTGGTTGGGGAATTCTGGGAGTGGAAGTTAATCTTTCCTTAAAGTGCCCAAGTTTGAGAAAAGCTGATTTACACACCTACTAATTTTACAACTGGATTATTGCAAGGCATTGAACCAAGAGATGCCCTTAAAGGGTGTCTAGAAGCCACAGTTGGTCAGATAGCAGCTTTAGAAATATGGCTAGATGTATTAGTTGGGAAGCGTGTTCGGTTGTCAGTTACTATCTTTTAATTAGCTTTACCTAATGTCTAGAAGTAATGGCCAACTAACGAGAAGGAAGGACTCACTGGAGAAGAGCCTAATGCTGGGAAAGATTGAGGACAATAGAAGAAGGGGACAGCAGAGAAGGAGGTGGCTGGATGGAGTCACTGAAGCAGTCGGTGTGAGCTTAAATGGACTCCAGAGGATGGTAGAGTACAGGAAGGCCTGGAGGAATGTTGTCCATGGGGTCGTGATGGATCGGACATGACTTCACAACTAACAACAACAACAATGTCTACAAGTCAAGATGGGCTTGAAGAAGATTTTCTTTTTCTCAGATTAGTGCCCACTGACTGAACTTGGCGGAACTCAAAATGCTAAACAGAGGTGAGTTGAACTGTGTGTGGATAGGGAACTTCCATGTTGTAGATTAGATCGGAAAAATCTAAAAATTATCTTTCAAAGTGAGATGGCAGCACAGAAATTTAATATTAAATAAATAAATATCCCAGAAGAAGGCCAATTGTCAACTAAAAAGATACTCCTTTGGTCTTTTTAGCTTCCAGAAAAAGGGAGTGGGGGAAAAACAAGGCATTTTGAAATGCCTAGATCAGGGGTGTCCAACCTTGGCAACTTTAAGACT